ATCTATACACGCAAGAAATTTAAACAAAGAAAATAGGTTCACAAACTTGATAACCGTTTTCGTCACGACATTGCTTTTGACACATTTGACAGTACCATTTCAACTTTTGAAGGCCTTTTGCCTTTAAAAAGAAAAAAAAAGGATGATCTGTTAATAAAATTGAGTCGGTTAAAAAATTTGAGGAACAGTTTAAAAGTAGTACAAACCTTGATTCTGTTTGCGATGGCTTTTGGTGTCAAGAATTCGTGTTTACCCATGTTTCTTAAAGGTATGTGATTTTTTATTTTTTTTTATTTTGGATCATAATTTAACTTCTCTGCACAATTATCACATGATATAACCGAACGATCGGCATACTTCATGTACGTCATAATTATCATTTGTAATTCGTAAAACATGAGTTCTAAAAAAAAAAATTTTCTCGGCTTTTTTTTTTTTTTTGTTCTTTTAACTTACTCCTTGTGAAATTATACGAAATATCATCAAACTTATAAAATCATTATTATTAAAAAAAAAAAAAAAAAAAAAAAAAAAAAAAAAAAGTGCACATGGAGAGGATTTATCAAAATCTGTTGTAACGCATAACGCGTACAATATAAATTTATATATATATGCGTAGCTTCTCGCGACTTGGCCCTTTTATGTCAATTATCCTTTTACGCGTTTATGACATAAGTTAAAACGCGTTTCGTTAGATTACTCACCATAGAGCGTTTGATTAAAAAAGATGCTTTAATTAAAAAAGTATATTGCATATCGTGTAATAGCTAATCCGTGATCTATCGCGAGAATTTCTTCTCAACCATGTTGCCGCGCGTTACCAGGATTTGCTGTAAGGCAAATGGACTCAGTTACACGAGATCAGATCAACACGTGACGCAACAAACAAAAATAAACACTATTATTATTAGTTTAAAAAAAAAAATCTTTCAAGTAACGCGAATTTTCAAATATAAAAGGAAAGGCCAAATTCCTTTTTTTCCCCTCTCTTTCCCTTTTAACCACTTATTTATTAATATAATTAGTCACAATAATACACATAAATTTTTTTTTTTTTTTATTAATAACATAAAAAACAAAGAAAAGAAAAGGTTAGAATTCTTTCCAATAACTAACTACACGTAAATAAATAAAAAAAAATTTTTTTTGATTTTTTTTTAAAAAAAATTTTTTTTTTTTTGTTTCTCGGGAATTTATAGCTCAATCTATCCAAATTTGACGTCTGGAAGATATTCGACAACACAACTTTCCTTTTTCTTTTCTTTTCTTCTTTTATCATCATCATCCTTTTCGTGATGGGGAAATTACCTGGTAGTAAACGTCCTCATAATATTCAAATGGAAGAGACAGAAGGCGAGGTTGACAATATGAAAGGCGGGTATGAGAAACCTTTTCTCAAGAAAATTTGCAATGGTTTGTGTGAGAATCCTTTCTTGTTTGATCAGCTTGATGAAAATGTAAAAGAGGTAACATAATTGAAAAAGACGCGTGATATTTTTTTTTTGTTTATCAATTGTTCCAATTAGCAAATGAATTTTTTATTAAATATGAATAGAGATTATCACAAAACGCGAGAAGGTTGGTGGAATATGTTGAATTCAAGGAAAATAATGGTGGAGTAAAACAACCGTTCAGTGAATGTATAAAGAATTATGATGAAAAGCAAAAGAGACAGAGATTTCGATATGCTTTAAGAACTAAATCCAATTTCGGGGTACATTTTAATCGTATGGGAGAAAGTGTTATTGAAGAGAAATCAATTTCACGTGATAACCTTGTTTGCTCGAGTCAACTCGTTAAAACTGATTCTGAGGATAATATGCATCCTACGAAAACGAAGAAATTACCGAAAAGGGCGACACGCAAAATACTACCTAAAATCTCATTATCTTCAATCCAACGAATAACTCCACCGATTATACAAGAACCTAATTGGGTTAGTTTCATTGAAAGTCCAACATTGACAACACCAAAGTCATCCCCGTTGGAGTCAGTTTCTGTCAACAAATTGAACGATTTTTCTTATGCCATTCAAGACTATTCCGAGAGAACAGCAATTGCTGCCGAAGGAATGATGATGTTATCAACGTCGCCTTCTTCGAGCTCTTCCGGTGGAATGACAACGCCGGAGAAGGAGACTTTTAAAGAAACAACGATTGATAGTATCTAAAAAATAATACATAATAAGTTATGAATACATTTACGTAGTCTATAAAAAAAAAAATAAAATAAATAAAATAAATAAAATTTAAGCTTATTAAAATTATAAATATTATATTTACTATCTTAAAAAATAAGTATATTTTTAAATATTTCGGAAAAAGAAAAAAAAAAAAGAAATGACAAGGAATGAGGATAAATAATTTATTTAGTTTATTTGTAATTTATGATCCATAAAGAAAGATTGTGATATGTAGGACAATCAACTAATTTTTCCATTTCTGGGAGGTGGTGGTTGTACAGATTTCTGAGTTCAATTGCTAATTTTTTATCTTTTTCGTTGTTCAATAATTAAATTACTTGAAAGTGTCAATGTTAAGGACATCAAATCAAATGATAAATGTAACTACATAATGTATTTGAAGATTTTAAAATGTTTTTATTTATTTAATTTTTTTTTGTTTTTATATTAAATTATTAAACAGTAAAAAACGAAAATATATTACAAAAGAAAAGAACTTTCTACATTAATTTAAAAAAAAAAAAACTAAAAATTAACGATATAACATTTTTAAAGAAAATATAAATGTTCTAATGTTCAAATTTAGTCGGTTTGCTCTTTTTCCACGTGCTCTAATTCATATCTTTTCTTAAGCGTGGAAGGAGCGACACCGAAATCTTCAGGAACTTCAATATTTTGTTCTATACAAATGACTCTAATCAAGGCGAAGTGATGAATCTAAAGATGAAAAGTAAAAATACTTTGTAAATAAATGATTATCATGAGAGGTAAAATTAAAAAGAAATAAAGATCATTTACCGCGTGGTGACAACAAAACCATAATTCTCTTCCATAAGTAGATTGGAATGGGATTGGATCCATAAACATTTCGGAATCAACCGTGGTATTAATTTGTATTGGGGTATGAAGAGGTATCAAAATGCTATCATTTAAAATTGTATCTTGTAATCGTTCGAGTTGTTTTATAGCTGTATGCCGTAACGTTTCTAATGGGATCTAATAATAATAACAATAAAGGGTTAAATTAGCATCTACTCTTAACCGTCAAATAAGAGAACAAGGAGATACAACTTACATCTCTTGACCTATCATCGTAATTGACAGTCCAAAGTTTTGTGTTATCTTCTTTCGGTTCTTCATAATGATAATCATCATAATTCAGATGTTCTGATACAAATCTTCTCGCTTTCAATGGCTTGGACTCAAGCAGTAACTGGAAATGTTCATAGAAATGTCTATTGCAAGAAAAAAAAAAAAAAAAAGGTAAATAAATCTTTGTTTCTACCGTAATTACGAATTTAGAACTTTTGATATTCTTACCTTACATGTTTCCCGATAGTACTGTTAGGGATAAATTTACTTTCATAAACATAACTTTTATCATCATTTAAACCTCTTAATAGATCAATACATTGCTGTAACGTTTTATAAGCAACTCTATGAATTTCTTGCTCGACGTTAATAGATATTAATGGTATAATTTCCTCTATTTCATTTACAGGAGTAGAAGGTTCATTAGGAGATGACGACCAGGAATTTATTTCGGCTTCAACCGTAGAAGCAACCGACATCATGCTGGAACGGTTTGCAGTTCTTGAAGCTGCTTCTGGTGATAAGGTTGGATATAGTGTCATAATTTTATTTGGTGATAATATAGGACGAGATTGAAAGTGAAGTGTCGGAACAGAAAATTTGGATATCAATTTAAGGAGCATTTTTTTATTTTATATATTTTTTTATTTATATATATAATGTAATGATGATGATATTTAAGGAATTTTTTTTTTTTTTTAGCACCAGCTAAGAAAAAATTTTCTAATTAAAGTATAGTAAGTCTAGGTTCTATAGGAATAATAATTAGAATAATTATATTTTTTTTTTTTTTCGCCAAATTTTTTTTTTGTGTAAAAATTGAGGTGGGAAGTTGGGGTGTTTAAATAATAAAATTATATTATCATTTTATTTTTTTTTTATTTATATAAGCCATAATCTCTCTTCCTAATAAGTTAAAGGAAAATGATATCTCTCCTCTTGACAATACTAAGGATAACCTTCTTTTGGAACCATTTTCGGTATATCACAAAGAGCGAGAATATTATGTACAACAGGCCACGAAAATTTTAAGCATATAATTTAATAATAGTTGAACAACGATTTTTCTGCCGAAAATATGTTTCGTCATATTGTTTCCTTTAGTGTTCCATTAATGTATTATGTTAGGTTTTAAGGATCACGTTCCTTTAACCTTGCTTTGTTCTTATCTAAATAAAGGATGTGGCCGAATTTTCAAAATTCCCGAGTTCATTTTCATTCGTTATTGGATCGCTCATTACTTTTTCTTAAGAATAGATTTATAGATGTTTCTCGATGATCAAAAAAAAACTCGGCATATATTTTACGTAAAAATTTGGGGTAAAAAAAAATATTTAAGGTTGATTTATAAATATTAAGAAAATAAGAATCTACAAAATATTTGTTATTTTAATTGTCACACCGTTTAACATGTTTTATCCTGTTTGATCTATGTAAATCATACTGGAAATTTCAATTAAACCTGGAAAAGGTCACGGACATTAATTTTTTTGTGGATGACATATTCTCACATATTATCTGTGTGCATGCGCAACACGCGTCTGCAATGATTCATCTATAAAAATAAATATATCCTCATTTTAACGCCAATTTGAAGTTCTTCACCTTTAAAAGAAATTTAATTTATCTTTTTTTTCTTCTTTCCGTACTCGATTTATTTTTTTTTAAAATTATGTTCAGTACACCTTTTAAAACTAAAATTATGCTTATTGTACCGATGATTTTACTATTTCCAACCTTTCCATCCTCCCTTACCCTTCCATCCTTTACCCTTCCATCCTTTAAATTTCTTTAATTTATTTTTGGCTAATTTTCCTGCTACCAAACCTCCTCCTGCACCTAATAATACTTTACCCATGCCATGAGTAGCATGCTTTCCTCCTATCAAACCTCCTGCACCTAATAATACTTTACCAATTCCTTTATCTTTATCCTGTTCATGCGTATCATGCGTACGAGACGATCCACCCACATAAGTTTGAGCTTCACCATAAGGATAATTTGATTGAGGGTAATGCTCAGGCCTGGGCTGTGGATAAGGTGATGGATAATCGGATGATGTAGGTTGCGGATATGGACTGGGTGAAGAATATGGTGGTTGTGGTGGTGTTGGTGGTTGTTGTTGTTGTTGTTGCATCATTGAATAAGGATTAGAAGCATAACTGTCTGATGTAGGCATTTGACCTCCATATGTGATGGGAGGGTAATTCGACGGTTGTGGAAATGACGATGTTGATCGTTGGTCAGATGAAGGAAGAAGACCTGGACTTGTAAACCCAAGCGGATAATGACCTTGCTGACTAGGGTTTAGAATAGATGGAAATTGTGAAGGGTATTGACTTGAGGTTTGTTCCACAAATGGTTGTAAAGGTGGTTTCGCGTCAAGTGGGTGATTCCATTGAGAGGTTCCCGTGCTCGTGTCTTTGCATATGAAATAAAAAGTTATCTTTTTTAGGCTTGGTAATTTTTTTTGTTCTCACCTTAACAATGATTTATTACTACCACGAAAACTACTTGACTTCACAACTTTTCATAATATATTTATTATTTCTTACATACCAACATAAAAATACCGTTGCGTGTTGGGATCAAATTCAGAAATAAATCCAGGAGGTAAAGGTCGAGGGTCCATTATTCAAACTCTCTCAAATTAACAAAAAAGAAAAAATTAAGTTTTTAAATGACTTATCATCCAAGAAAAACGCAACCAACAAGGTTTTAAGGGATGATCGTATCACTGCATAAATCATCACCCCCTATTTTATACCTAAACTTGATAAGATGTACTTATGATATGCATTGCCGTGACAAATAGCAACCAAAATGTCTGTGCACAAATCTTATATTTATAAATTTACAACCTGTTTAATGAAATATATTTTTTAAAATGGGGGTTTTTTTTTTTGGTTGGGATATTGCTCTATGAAAAAAAATAAATATAAATTTTTTTTTTTTTTTTTTTAATGAATACAATAGAATAAAAATTTTCGAAAAATCAAGTTAATTGAAATAACCATCCAGAATCTGAATTTCCTTGCATAAATTTTTCGTTTCCATAAAGTCATACTTGATTTCGTAATAAAGGTGCTTGCTCCCTTAAACTACCTGGATTACTTATCCATTGGGAACTAAGAGCTCGTTTTAACTTATATCCGGATTTAACGTAAATCGTTATAAAGGATAAAATAATTAAACCAGCTAATAATGATGTTTGAATTGACAAGTACAATATGTCCCATTCTCTAACAGCGACATCGATTAGACATCTAACAAAGGAAAGAAACCCCCCAGTTAATTTTTTATTCATTTTTGTTTTAAATTCAACTAGGTAGAGAAAAAAAACTTACGCGGCCATGGCAAGACCAAAGAGTCCATCTCTTTGACGGTTACTAAACAATCCGGTGACAGTCCATGCAAACCCAACTATTCCCATAATCCAAACAAATAAGACTCCTAATAAAGCATAATCATCATCATCATTTGATTTCAGTATTGCCATATAAATATTATGAAATAAATCCAGCCATGAAAATGCTGCATATATCGCAAATGGAACATGAGCGAAAATATAAATTTTCTTGGCTTGTGAATAAGGTAATTCATTTGGAGGGTAATCTACTGTAAGCCTATAGTGAGCAAGACTTACTACTAAGAGAGTCAATGTTGCAAAAAATGAACATCCTACAAAGTTCAATTGCAACTAATTGAATCAAACGAATGAAGGAAATTAGAATTCATTTTAAAATTATTTAAATGCTTTGCAATGAATTAATATTCAAATCTACACAAACCCAAAACCAAAACCAGCCAAGCATAAAAAGATTGGCCAAAGTAAATAACCAACCAACACTCTCATTCACAACTTCTTGAACTATGGCAACATTGCTAAATTGTGTATAAAAAACAAACCCAAATCTTAAAAGGTACATTAAGGGCCATAAAATTGATATCAAAACTAACGACGGAAAAAAAATATTGTTATATTTATGATCAATTTCTCTTGGGTCAAGAATATAAGCGTAAACACTACTGGTGAAGCTCGCTATGAGAGATAATATATTGACAACACGAAGTGTCTTCAACGAAGTCGAAGCTTCACGAATTTCAGTATCTTCATAAGAATATAATATTTGAGACATAATTTTGTATAGAAAGTTTATTCAAAAGAAAAAAAAATGAGGTAAAAAATGAAAAGGGAAGAAATATGATCTTATATGAAGATTTAGATTAAAATTTCGAGACTTGATCTTTTAATATTGTTTGTGTTACAGAATTAACTGTCACTTTTGTACTCATTATGTATTGGCGTAACAAAATAGTCGATCACTTTTTAGCCCATTATCAGATCAAGCTATAATCAATCGAAAAAATACAAACCACGTGATCTTATATACTACTTATCAGTAGAATTTAGTCTTATTATTTTCTGCTATTGTAAAAAATAATCGCGGATTTCTATATCCATCGAAAGATGGATTTTTCATCTAACGACCAAAATTTTTAATTTACGAATTTTCGTTTCACGTGGTACATCACAAATTCCTTTAAAATAAACATAATGAAAAAATTTTTAGCCCAGGGTATTTAATTTTATTTAAATCTTTAATTTACAATTTTAGCGTTATACATTATTTGTATGATCGATTCTTCGATTTAATTAATATATTAGTTAGTTAACAGAAAGTAGCTAATTAATATTTTTAAAATTAAACTTTATTATATATTATCAAAATTATTAAAATAATAAATAATACGTTTGATAGAAGTAGTAATTTATATGCAGTAGAAGGATAAAAATTACCAAAAAAAAAAAAAAGCAAATTTTATTTTATGTTAAATATGATTTTAGTAAATAAGTACATTAACTCAAAAAAATTTATATTTTATCCTTTTTACTGCAAAGTATTTATATATTAAGTAATAATTTAGAAAAATAGTATCTAAAAATGAAAATAATGGTTTTGTAAAAATAAATTTCAATAATACTTCATAATTAATATACTTCAAACAATTAATTATAATAATATAAAATTAATTAAGATATTATATATTGTATATTAATTATAATATTATATTAATTTTAATTATTAAAGTTATTGTATAATTAATATTTTTATATTATATTAATAAATTTATAAAATATAAATTTAATAATTATTATTATCATAACATAAAAAAAGTAAAGTTAATTTTTATTTAAAAATTCTTTTAAGAATTACTAAATCTATTATTATATTAATTTAAACTTTTGCTAACTTGCTCCCTTAGTAAAAATCACCTATATAACATATAATAGATGACAAATAGAATTTTAGCAATAAAAATTTTTTAAGTTTTCCAATTAATTATTACAAATGAGAAACAGAGGAGTGTAACACATTATGATAAATAACCCTAATATTAAACCTAATCCTAACAAACCCTAATTCTATACAAAAATTTAACTTTAACTAATCTTAATTCTATAGATATTGTTATCTTACAATACTAATGACTGAAAATTAGTATTAACGTAAGATTAACAAAGAGATTTAGCTTTTATTTGATACTTTAGGGAGAGTTCTGAAGGGCTTGCAAATAATTATTAGTTCAAATAATAGTGTATATTTAAAATAAACTTTTAGAATTTTATTAAAGGATAAGGAATTCGTTACAATTATATTTGTTAGCATATAATTGTTATTAGTATTTATCTTGTTGGTGATTAAAACTAATTGAGTTCCAATTGTTTACAAATTATTATCTTTTGTTATCTACTACTGTCTATTGCTACCTAATATTATTCGCTTTAACCAAGTTTTAAAGCTATCCTATTTATACTAAATTTGCTAAAATAAATAAATAAAATACTAATTGATTATAAATAATAAATGATTAATAATACAAAATGATTAATAATATAATAGAATTTTCTGGTGACTTCTGGATTTTTTACGTAACCTTTATTTAATTCATTTTTCTTGTCTTCGCCATCTTCATCATCTAACATAGTGCAGTCAATATGCCTTTTAGTCATGTGTGTCACATGATCTTTTGAATTAATATCTTCCTATAACAGTATCCTCCCTTTTAAGAATGAACTCCAGTAAATTTCTAAAATATTCTATTTCATACTAAATTATTCTATGAAGTTGTAATTTGTTGATCGATTGTGTAATAGTATTACGAATTTTGCTGATCAATTGCGTGATTTCATATGATGATTATCAACAAATAATTATTCAATAATTATTTGTTTATGTTTTACAGAAGAGGAAATTCTCATAATCTTGAGAATTTCTAAGAGTTCGATACAGCCACTTCCTTTATGTATAAATATTCGTTTAAAATTTTCATCTATTTTCTGTAAATTTTTATCAATTTTACTAAAACTATTGCAAAACTTTCAGCTTATATCTTCATCATAGACAAAAGTTTTCAAAAGCAATTTTTCTTGTGTTATCAATATAACCTTCAAAATCAAAAAGAAAAACAAGACAACAAAGAATAGATGAACTTGATATTAAAAATCACAGGTTTCGACAATTATTAAATTCCTCTTTATCTCAAGTAGATAGTTTATCTAATGAAATTCGTCGTTTATCTTCCCATTTATCTCACAATAGGCGTCAATATCAAGACCTTGAAATAGAATACGAAGGTCTTCTATTTTAATACAATTGTGCAAGAACTGATGTTGATCGTCTTCAAAATTATGAAGATGTCTAATCAGTCCAAAATCTTTAGAATAATTTAAGTCAAATCTAGAGAAACTTTAGAAGAATATTGGAGTAACTTCATCAGAGAAGTGAAGAATTTAATTTTTCTTATCACGTGTCTCTTAATGATTAATTTACTACTAAATA